CCCTACAAAACCCCATACTTTCATACCCTGAATATTGAATTTGAATTGGTTTTAATCCTGAATTATCCCCTGCAGCAAAACTCGCTTGCCTCACATATGATTTCCAATGTAAATGGTTGAGTAAGGAATATAGAGAAAATCTTGTTGCTTTTGCTCCTGCATGTTGCACAGGGGAGTTGAGCAGTCATGGAATGGTCCACCTAACCATTCAGCACCTGAAGATGTGTCACCAGGGACAGAAGCACGACCCAGAGGAGCAGATTCTGCTGCAGTGACAGCTTGGGATTTGTTGTGAGCTGTGCATTGCAGAGAAGGAAAACTGGCATTTCTGCATGAGGACATGCTGCCCACATGTCTAGTTGCTGTCCTTAATCATTTTCAGTGTCGGATTTTCATCTGCATTGGGTATTATCTTAGGTTTCCACAGACATCTGCATGAAATGTGGGTTGATGCTTGTCTTTGTAACATCTGTGCTGCATGTTGCAGTCTGTTACGTTCTGTGGAGGGAAAGCATGCGTCCGTGCAAGCTTGGACTCTGGGGTGCTGTATTATCTATTACTGAATAAAAACATAGAAGAAAACCTGACTGTTAACATCAACAATTAATGGGATTACCAGGACTTCCTTATTACTAGAGTAATAGCTGTAGATTTACCAAGGGTGGTGCATTTTTCATGAATGGAAAGCCATTCACTATTAAAAAATGTGCTGCACCCTTTTGTTAAATACATCACATGAAACAGATCCAGTCATTTACGAAAAATGGAACAGTATATCAAACTTCAATGAGTAATAAGGAATTTCTCACAATGGAAGAGATTGTGCATTGCAACCACAAGAAAAAGTGGGATCTCCACCTGTAGAAATCACAGATTGGACAAGTTACAGGACTTAGTGAAGGGTAACCAGAAGAGGCTGTGGGGAATATCCATACTACCTGCATTTCATTCTTCAGCCTGTCTAAGTATAGCTGTATAAAAAGTGGACAGGCAACAGGAGAATGCACTTAAGAATGTTTTCTTAAGCAGTAAGAGTTCCTAATTTAGGCACCTAATATTACTTGATACAAACGCCATGACTTATGTTAATGTAGATGAACGATTAAGTTGTCCTTTCCAACCTTAATAAGACTATCACTTAAGAGTGCCATGCTGTGGCAGAAATGATGCCCTTACATGAAGCTTCTTTAGGAAATACAGGGTTTGAATCAATAAAAAGAGTTAATTCCACTTACACTTTGAGGACATCTGTACTGGTAAAGAGGAAAATATGTTCTTGAAATTGAATTGGCAACTCTGCATTAGCTGACTGGGATTAAAATAGCAACAAAGACGAGTCAGTTGGATCTGTAATTTGAATGGATACCTAGGAAAAAAAATCTTCATTCAGAGCCAGTTTACTTCATCTTTGTAAAACGTACAAGCTTAAGAAAAGAAGTGGCACGTCGCTCACCCAGCGCTGGGACAGAGCCGGGTTCCCAGTGGGGCGCGTCAGCTGCTGGTAGGCCCCGTGGGGGGGGCTGAGAGTTATTTTTTTGATAGGCTGGTGGAATCACAGAACCAAAGTTTCAGTTACAAGACCAAAATGACGTGGTATGCTGGTTATGTCTGCAGAAGGGCATCTCAAATAGATCCCGCACCAGCAAAGCAGACTGTTGCAGGAAGCCGAAGGAGTGTGGCAGTCATGGCGTGTGCCGGGACTGAACCAGTCCTCGCCACAGCCCGAAGCCTGTGGTTTTAGATAGGAAGTGAAAGCATCAGCCTGGACTCTTCCTGCTTGTGTGATTAAGTCCTTAATGTACCCTTCCTAAACTGCAGCATTCTTTACCTCTGTCTGAAGCTACATCTTCATACTTGACGTCGCTGCCACATTTTATCCCCAGAGCTGCTGCATTTCAGTGCAAGATTAAATGGAAGGCATTAAAAAGTAACCTGTATTGTTCTAGCCATTCGTCGCTGGTAAAAAGAAATATTGTAAGGAATCACCTTTAAAGGTATCTGTCGTACTGGTGCAGTACGCTGGTCAGATTCGTATGCTCAGATACCATGTCTTTTGCGAATGTCTTTCAGACAGCATATCTGAAGTACTTGATACTTAAGAACACAGAAGTGCGTAATCCCCACCTTGCTGTGCATTGAGCGTGTTGCCAATGAAACTAATAGGCCAGGTTCTCTGGTGCCAGGTGGTAAAAAGTTGTTGCCCAGTGATATTAAAAAGGTGTAAATGGGAGAAGAATAGGATCGACATCTCTGGAAGAACAAGGAAGTACTTACATCGGGAGGATTTGCTGGACAAGATTCTAAAATTTTCCCATTCTAAGATTGACATGGGAGCGTCCGGAAGCTGGCTAATATTTTATAAATTTCTAATGCAGACGTTTTTTTGAAGATAGCAACATGATTAGACTCATAAACTCATTAAATTGTAGGTTTCTTTGTGGCCACGATTCTCCCCATAACTAAAGTGAACGATGTTTTATTTTCCTGTTGCTAGCTCTTGGACATTTCTGTAAAGTGGACCATCCAAGACGACTCTGCCCCCAAGTATCCCCATTATGACCCAGAGACATCTCGCCAGCTGCTGTGTGACCAGTGCCCTCCTGGGAGCTACGTAAAGCAGCACTGTACAGGCACCAGCCCGACGCAGTGTGCCCCGTGTCCGGACCAGTACTACGCCGAAGAGTGGAACAGCAACGACGAATGCCAGTACTGCAGCGCCGTTTGCAAAGAGCTGCAGTACGTCAAGCAGGAGTGCACCAGCACGCAGAACCGCGTCTGCGAGTGCGTCGAAGGCAGATACCTGGAGCTCGAGTTTTGTTTAAAGCACACGGAGTGTCCTCCTGGGTTCGGCGTTGAACAGCCAGGTATGTACCGCTTGTCAATATGCACAGACTTAATTAGAGCTCTACCACACGTCGATGACTCGTGGCAGTTACAAGATTAGGGAAGAGGCTCGTCCAGATGAAATTACAGAACAGTAAATTGTAAAGCCAATTGAACCTGTTCCTAGTCTGCGTCATTTGGACTGTAGCCAAAGCAACATTTCTCAGTGGAATACCCTGCTCCTACTGTAATATATAACTTAATGGCAGTAGCAAATGTAGCAAATTGCACTCTAATGAGAAACATGATGGATTGCCTCTTTTAAAGGAACATTATCTGGAATGTAGTATTTGTGTGTGTGATAAATAATAATGTTTTTCATTTTGAAATCTGCTGTTTCAAGCAACTGTGTATCTTGACAAACACCAGGAGCACTACGTGTTTGACACCAAGTGTATAATTATAACAATATTAATATAGCTCTAGCATCACAGCAATATGTGATAATAATTAATTATCAGCATCCTAAGTGGAACTCTTAGGGAAACTGTTACTATTATGAAACAAACAACTGTTTCTTTGTCAAGCAGGTTGGCGTTGGGCCATAGGTCTGGTGGGGATACAGAGTGAAGCGGTGCTTTTCAGTGGAGTGTATTCTTCATTTAAGACAACATAGATTGTTAAACCAATAATAAGTTCTTCTCTCAAAACAAAATACATCGTTTATCATTTGGCAAATGTCACGGCCCAGTTTAGCTCCAGTATTTAATACAGCCTGAAAGAATTGTAAACTGTCATTATACCAGCGATTGATAACTGCCCAGATAAGAGCACTGAGGAAGGGAATGGAGAAAATCAACGCATCTCAGACACAAACCCGTAGGCAACAGATCTCCAGACTACAGAATTACTTCCCTAGGAATTACATATATACAGTGAGAAACACTAGGGCTGGCCTGCCCATTTGAGAGCTATGCTGAATGACAGGTCCTTTCTTGGTTGTGAATATCTCATTGGAGAACAACTTTGTCGTAAGGAGTAATGTCACTGCTGTAGCTGCTCGTTAGTCCCTGAGCAATTGGCTATCTAAGCATTACCCTGATGCCCTTGCCACTGTTAAGCATTTCCACTGGTATCTACCACATTTCCATATTATAAGCTTTCATTATCCTAAATCGTTATACCCAGGGGCTTGGGTTAATGAGGTTCCACCATACTTCGACAGCAAGTCAAAAGGGGCCAGAAACAAAGTTCTCAGAAAGACCTTTTGGGGGACGAACAAAGAAGTATAAATTGTCTGAGCAACCAGCCTGCTGCATCCCTGCAAGCACAGTGAAACCATGGCAGACAAAATTGAATCCCTCAATTCAAAATGAAACAAACTTTGGAAGAAGACAAGTTGTCGAATCGTGTAATTTATTGGAAAGTTGGTTTCCAAAAGCCCATCAGAATGAACCAGCTAAACCCAAGCAGGCCTCAAATAAGGAATGAAAACACTGTAAATATAATTGCATCCCCCTGTGTCAATAGTCAGTTTTTGAGGTGAGGCATTGACTAAGAATTTAATAAGCATGGACAACACTGCGTTCCTGGTTTCTGCCATATGATAGCCTTGAACTTTGTAACGATGTAAATTCAGGTGAAATATAACTTAAGTATGGAAAAATATGCTCCCACCGCCACACAGGGAGATAGTGTGGTCCAGTGTCTCCTTCAAAGCTTAAAGCATTAGAAATCTGTTCCCCCACTGCCAGTCACTCATGATTACATTGGGCAGATCACTTTACTTTGGTAATCCCCTTTTGTGAGTGTAGATTACAGGTTTGTTCCTTTCTGCAGCGGTTGGCCCTGTATTGGCAGAGGTTTTAGCAGCCCTGTGCTGGGGAAGCAGCGCTGCTACGAGGCAGCACTATCTCCCCGGCGGCGGCTGCCGTTTCCCTGGGGAGAATGGGGGATTCCAGGCGAACTGGAGGGAGCAGCGGAAGGGCGGCCGGGCTGCCGCGCTTTGTGCCCTGAACAAGAGCGGCCAGATAAGTAGGGAAGAAGCAGCTGGCAAATCTGGGAGGTGACTTTCTGCTCAACCCTGAGAACACTGATGGATTACCCGTTTTATTTCCCTCTTGTACCGCAAAGGTTATACGGGAAACTCTGAGCAGAATGATGTACCATTTGTAGGGACTCTCCTTTCTTCCCCTTCCTCGCTGCTGGAACACAACAGATGCGTATCTGTAGCAGGGAAAGTTGTTAAAAATTCAGACTTCTCAGCAAAGGTAATTGCTGCCTGTTCAGGGGCAGGTGTTGGCTGGAGTTTTGTACAGCCCAGAGCCGCAGGCAGCACACGTTGTGCAAGGAAACACAAGGGCAGACGCTGCTGCTGCGGAAAGTGGAGCATAAGAGGGGTCTGGCAATATAGAGGGTCCCTGATTTTCAAATGCACAGCAGCTAAAAAATTCTCCTTTGTTTTCACCTGCTGTCTGACGAAAGAAGTGCTAGGTCAGGTGTATGCAAGTATTATTCTTTATTTCACAGCTGGTTGAAAACTTGAGATTTGTACGCTTTTTCTTAAGGAAATGCCAAAAATAAATAAAATTTACTTAAAAGGTAGCATTAAAATAAACATCCACATGTAAATACTTACAAAATACACTAGATGGAGGCATTTTCTTGTTCAAATGTAGTTTCTAATTATTTCCAAAGAATTTTAAGCATGTGCTTAAGTTCATGTTCAGTAATGCGATATTAGACTCTAGGCACTTGCTTAAGTGTTGACTGAAAAAAGATGAATTAAGAGTGAATATACAGCACTTATTGGTGCTGTTATTTTTGTGCTGCTGGTGGTTAGACTGCATTGTTTAAAATTCCACGCGTTAATTTTCTTCCTCTGTGTCAATGTGATAGAATCTTATATTGTCATTCTATTATAGTATCGTATATTTGATTCTGAAGTAAGACTATGTCTTATAAAAGTAAAACACCAAGCAAAATATATGTATGCATATTAAATATTTTTGCTATATTGGATGATCTACTTCTTTGCTTTAAATAATATTTTATTCAAGCACAGAAAAAAAGTTCAAAAATTTTACTGAAATTCTATTTTCCTCTATAATTTCATATCTAAGCAGGGAAGGTACTTTTCAGAGGGTCTTTAGTTGATACTCAGTTTAGTTATATTTTTGGCTAGAACTAAAGTAACCCATTTGAGTAAGGTTCTGGGCAGATACTACAGAACAGAATTTAGAGGAGTGTCTTGTGCTATTTAATTATTTTACAGAGTATTTGTACAGCTGAGGGATAAAGGTCAGACATCATGTAATATCTGAATAGATGCAAGTGATTACTGATTTAAAGATATTGCTTTACTAAATTACCTAATTACTGATTTTAAAGTTGGTAACAACTGTTACTGTTTATTACTCCAGCAAAAACATCATTCTCTTTAAAAATTCATTTTTGTTTTTAAAAATCAAAGTGTTGTGGGTTTTTTTTCTAAATGAGATTCCTTCATACATCAGAAATGTGAAAAGCAGAAGCATCACAATTTTGGGAGGAATATTTTATTTTATTTTTATATTCTTTTTTTTTCCTCACAGTTGAGGTTGTATACAATTGTATGCATTGTTTTGTCATTTCCACAGGTACCCCTGAGAGTGACACTGTATGTAAGAGATGTCCAGAAGGATTTTTCTCAAATGAAACATCATCCAAAGTAGCCTGTCTAAAGCACACAAACTGTAGTGCACTGGGTTTCAAAATAGCATTGAAGGGAAATGCAGTTCGTGACAATGTCTGTCAGGAAAATACAGATACAGCACCTCAGAAATGCGGAATAGGTACGTATCATATTAAGGAAGAGTGTTCTGAAAATATACCTTTAATTATAGTTAAAATGAATATCTCGGCATTTATGATAAAAATATCTAGCTTGTTAGCCATTTGCCTGCTATGGTGATGGCCATAGTAGAGTTTTAATTATTGTAGTATTGTATTATTAATAATACAATAATACTGTATTATTATTCTCTGCTCTCAAGCGCAGAGAGCAGCAGCATTATAAAGGCCACTTCTTTGTTTTTTGAACATTTTTTCTTATCATTCTTGCTGCTTGCTCTTTTTTCAGACATGAGTAGGGTAACAAAGATCAGAACAATTAATATATTTATTTTAATTTCAGATGTAACCCTGTGTGAGGAGGCTTTTTTCAGGTTTGCTGTTCCTACTCAGCTCACACCTAACTGGCTGAACATACTAGCGGACAGTTTGCCTGGGACAAAGGTTAGCACAGAAAATATCGAAAGAATTAAACAAAGGCACAGTTCTCAAGAGCAAACCTTCCAGCTTTTGAAATTATGGAAGCAGCAAAACAAAGAACAGGATATGGTCAAGAAGATTATTCAAGGTACCTCATTTTGATAACATATATGTTAAAAGCTACCTTCTAAATGGCATTTTAAAAATTGCTCGGGATCAGATACCTCCTGGTGATGTGTTATGCTCTGAGGAAGACCTGCAGGGCTTGACTGAGATTTATTGCTGCAGAAAGCACAGTGAAGTTGAGGGGAAGCAGGAAGAGAATTCATCTTCTCCTGATCAGTTGAGGGCTGAATTCTTCCCAGACTTGTAACCCCCTTGGGAGTGTGTGTGGTGTCACAACCAAGATCCCCTTTTGAGACTGCACAACTGTCATGGTTTAACCCCAGCTGGCAGCTCAGCACCACGCAGCCGCTCGCTCACTCCTCCCTGGTGGAGTGGGGGAGAGAATAGGAAGAGAAAAAGTGAGAAAACTCATGGGTTGAGATAAAGACAGTTTAATAGGGAAAGCAAAAGCTGCATACACAAGCAAAGCAAAACAAGGAATTCATTCCCCACTTCCCATGGGCAGGCGGGTGTTCACTCATCTCCAGGAAAGCAGGGCTCCATCACATGTAACGGTTACTTGGGAAGACAAATGCCATCACTCCGAATGTTCCCGCTCCCCTTCTTTCTTCTTCCCCCAGCTTTATATGCTGAGCATGACACCCTATGGTATGGAATATTCCTTTGGTCTGTTGGGGTCAGCTGTCCCGGCTGTGCCCCCTCCCAATTTCTTGTGCACCCCCAGCCTACTCACTGGTGGGGTGGGGTGAGGAGCAGAAAAGGTCTGGCCTCTGCATAAGCACTGCTCAGCAATAATGAAAACACCCCGGTGTTATCAACACTGTTTCCAGCACAAACCCAAAACATAGTGCCATACTAGCTACGATGAAGAAAATTAACTCTATCCCAGCCAAAACCAGGACAGCAACATAAGAAAAATTTTGACCAAGTGGGGAAAGTACTTCCCGCTGTTCTATCTGAGCAGTGGCCGTTGAGGTTAGAGGGAGCTGGATGCCTGCAAATGAGAGTGCAATTTGTTTTCTATAAAGTGGAGATTGACAGCTCAGACTAGGACATCTATTCAGGGAATGGGAAGGCATGGGAGTGAGGAATACACAAGCAGGCTTTCCCTTCTTTTTCCCTTCCGATACCTATTTGTCATGCCGATTCACCGCTTGCTTTGTGCTGAATCTGCCAAGACAAGTGTCAAAGGTGAAATAGTGTTGCAATGTTAACACCAAGGTTTTTATGAGAGTCAGGCCAACTCTTTTCATGTAAGCCACCATCAACAACTGCCACATTCAAATGACCTTTTGTCCACTTGGAATAGATTTGAAAAATGCTGCAGATTTATGTTGTTTTCTCCCTCTCCTTTTTAATATGTATGCTTATGTCAGACTGTGAATTGTCTAGAATACTTCAAAAACTAAAATGACTATTTTAGCAAAGCTTGCCTAGAATTTCTGAAAAAGAAGAGCAAAATTCTCATTCACTGGAATCAAATATTAGGTGTCCTATCACATACACAAAACATTTTACAAAATACCTGAAACAAGCATATAGCAATAAATAACTGCTATGAAGTTTGTTTGTTAATTTAGGTCTGTTTGTATTTGCGAAGTCAATTGAATTCTTCAGTGCTTTTCATAACTGGAGCCTAAAAAAAGCATTGCTGAGAGAATTATTTGAAATAAAGTAAATAAAAATTGGGAAGGAATGTTCACCGTGAAATTTTGGAAGTTTTTTTGAAGGCCATGGTAAAATTGTAATGCATTGTATTTACCTCTCTTTTTGCTTTCTATAGATATCGATGTTTGCGAAAATAGTGTCTTAAAGCATATTGGCCACCTGAACCTCACCTTTGAACATCTCAACACACTGATGGCGAGCTTACCAGGCAAGAAAGTGGGAAAAGAAGATACTGAGCGCACAATGAAACTATGTCAACCTACAGAGCGAGTTCTGAAGCTTCTCAATCTGTGGAGAATAAAGAATGGTGACCAAGACACCATTAAAGGTTTAATGTATGGACTGAAGCACTTGAAAACATACCACTTTCCAAAACCAACCATCCAGAGTCTGAAGAAGGTGATTAAGTTTCTTCACAGATTTACAATGTATAGATTATACCAGAAACTCTTTTTAGAAATGATAGGGAACCAAGTTAAATCAGTGAAAGTAAGATGTGTCTAATTCAAGATATTTTTAATTCTCCACTGACTATTTTTCCCTAATTACTGCTAGCAGTAATTAAACTGGAATTTATGTCTTACTATTTATAGAAATGCCTGACTGGAATAGCTCTAAGTCTTTTGCAGTGTTTTTGGAGGGTTTTTTAAAAATACAATCACTTTTGTAAAAGCTATTAACCTGTTGATAACACTAAGAGCCTGATTCTGCATTTTTGCACATTCAGAGTTGAAAAGCCCCACTATAGTCACTAGATGAGAAAAGAATGCCGGACCAGGCTCTACCACAGTATTTGCTATTTATATTCTTCAAAGAATAAACATTTTTGTTGTACATATTTATTAAGTTAAATGGAAATTGTATGAGAACTTAGGAAGAGAAATGAAAAGCACACTGTATATTTTCTAGTTAAACGAAAATGATCCCATATATTTTTCTGGCAAAATTTTGTAGCATGCTCTAAGAGTTATTAATTTCTTTACATTTTGTATTTAAAAAAGTATTATTGCTTAGTGTTATTTGTATAAGTTGTGGTATCTTTTGGTAGGGGTGTTTTAATTTATCCGATGATTTTAACTCAAATACAGTGAAAATATAGCATAAGTGACCTGAATATTTAAATATTCTGTGAGGAAGTGAATGTACCATATTTAAGAAGTTGGATTTTTATATAGAATTTCATAATCTTATTTTATAAAACAATTAAATTTTTCAGTTTACTTTTTGACTGGTATTTTACTCTTGACTCTGAAGTAGGAACTAATAACAAAGCCAGACCATGTGGATTTTGCTGCTTATCTTGGGCTTGGCTCTCTGCTACTCTCTGTCTGGTCTAGTAGTTAATATGTGATCCAAGTAAATATTGACCGGCACTGGATTATTATGGTCACTGTACAGGTGTAAAAGCAGGTAAAAAGTATTAAAGGTTCTAGTTCAGAAGGCCCAAGTGGTTGCAATACAACTAATTACAACTCCATAGACACATTTGGCCCAGCAATACTCTTGGCCCGGTGTCGTTCTTGGAGAGCTCACAACCTTTGCCCTAACCACAGCTTGTAATTTCATGGAGGAAAGATGATGCATGGCCCTGATGGGCTTGGAAAGCCTCACATATTGCCACTGTGTTTAAAGGAAGGGAGCACAGAGAGGTCACATAAAAAAAAAAAAAATTTACCATTGCCCTCAGCTACAGAATCATAGAATCAGAATGGTTTGTGTTGAAAAGAACCTTAAAGATCATCTAGTCCAACCCCCTGCCACGGGCAGGGACACCTTCCACTACACCAAGTTGCTCAAAGCCCCATCCAGCCTGGCCTTGAACACTTCCAGGGATGGGACAACTTCTCCAGGCAACCTGTTCCACTGTCTCACCACCCTCAGAGTGAAAAATTTCTTCCTTACACATAATCTAAATCTACCATCCTTCAGTTTAAAGGCATTACCCCTTGTCCTATCACTACATTCTCTTGTAAAATGTCCCTCTGCAGCTTTCTTGTAGGCCCCCTTTAAGTATGGAAAGGCTGCAATAAGGTGTCCCTGGAGCCTTCTCCAGGCTGAACCCCAACTCCCTCAGGCTGTTTTCACAGGAGAGGTGTTCATCCCTCTGATCATCTTTGTGGCCCTCCTCTGGACTCACTCCAACAGGTCCATGTCGTTCTTACATTGGGGGCCCCAGAGCTGCACGCAGGACTCCAGGTGGGGTCTCACCAGAGTGGAGCACAGGGGGAGAACCCCCTCCCTTGACCTGCTGGCCACACTGCTTTGGATGCAGCCCAGGATACGGTTGGCCTTCTGGGCTGCAAGTGCACATCGCTGGCTCATGTTGAGGTTCTCATCAACCAACACACCCAAGTCGTTCTCCTCAGAGCTGCTCTCAATCCATTCTCCACCAGCCTGTATTTGTGCTTGGGATTGCCCTGACCCATGTGCAGGGTCCTGCACTTGGCCTTGTTGAACTTCATGACGTTCACACGGGCCCACCTCTCAAGCTTTCAAGGTCCCTCTGGGTGGCATCCCTTCCCTCCAGCGTGTCAACCGTACAGCTTGGCGTCATCATCAAACTTGCTGAGGGTGCACTCGATCCCACTGTCCATGTTGCCGACAAAGAAGTTAAACAGCACCAGTCCCAATACCGACCCCGGAGGAACACCACTTGTCACTGGGTTCTACTTGGACATCGAGCCGTTGACCACAACTCTTTGAGTGCGTCCATCCAGCCAAATCCTTATTCACCAAGTGGTCCATCCATCAAATCTGCGCCTCTCCAATTTAGGGATGAGAATGTTGTGCAGGACAGTGTCAAATGCCTTGCACAAGGCCACATAGATGTTGTCAGTCACTCTTCCCTTACCCACTAATGCTGCAACCATGTCGAAGACTACCAAATTTGTCAGGCACAATTTGCCCTCAGTGAAGCCATATTGGCTATCACCAATCACTTCCTTATTTTCCATGTGCGTTAGCATAGTTTCCAGGAGGATCTGCTCCATCACCTTGCTGGGCACAGAGGGGAGATGATTGACTGGTCAGTAGTTCCCCGGGCCTTCCTTTTTCCCCTTTTTAAAAATGGGGATTATGTTTCCCCTTTTCTAGTCAGTGGGAACTTCACCCAACTGCCACAGCTTCTCAAATGTGATAGGTAGTGGCTTAGCAACTTCCTCCACCAGTTCCCTCAGGACCCACAGGTGGATCTCATCAGGTCTCATGTACTTGTGCACCTTCAGGTTTCTTAGGCGGTCTTGAACCTAATCTTCTCCTACAGTGGGCAGTTCTTCATTCTCCCAGTCCCTGCCTTTGCCTTCTGCGACTTGGGTGTTGTGGCTTGAGACTTCTCCATATGCCAGGTAACCAGGTCTCCCATTTCCTTCCAGAGAGGACCCACATTTTCCCTAGTCTTCCTTTTATCACTGACGTACCTATAGAAGCTTTTCTTGTTGCCCTTGACAACCCTGGCCAGATCTAATTCTACTGGGACTTCAGCTTTCCTAACCTGATCCCTGTCTGCTTGGAGAATTTCTCTGTAATCCTCCAGGCTACACGTCCTGCAAAGAGATGGGCCTCCCAAAAAAGGGAACACGGAGTGTATGAACATTTTTACCAAAACCTCATGTAACTTTAAGGACCAGTGATCATTCACAGTGCAAGCCAAAGGCTTCAGTGGCTGCAGAAAGACTGTACTCTTGTTTTTTTTTTCTTTAAACCACACGAACAGAGCTTGAGTATTCTTTTCCCTTGTGTAAAGGAAGGAAAAGCCATCAGCATTTAACCTCGTATGACAAATATTCCTTTATTATAGATGAGAGGATCTTAAGCAAAGAATGAGAAAGAGATTCCTGGTAGATACGATAGGTACTCGTCAGAAGAGCTCTCCTTACAAAGTGTACAGACGGGACATATTGCTTTAAAATACCTGGGTTTCATTTTCACGGAATTCTCACATCACTTTCTGTGTCAAAAAGAATAAACTCCCTTTTATATTTCACATCCTATATATTAGCATCTCATTTATCAGTGTAAAAAATTACTAGGTTTGTGTTGATTCTTTTGAAATAATTTACATACTTTTACAACAGAAACTGTTTTTACATGTAAGTAAAAGGCTTAAAAGATGATAACAACAGAGTCTCAAATCTGCAAATAGAGACCAGATGTTTCCATGACTCTGCCAGGTGTGGAGGTTTGGTGTGTTTATAGGTATTAAAATGAGAATAATCATCTTACTGGCAGTGAAACGAAAAGGAATGCCACACACCTCTTATCAACATTTCTATCCTAATCCTTTCTACCTCAGCTCTATTTAATACAACAATTTAGAAATTGGTAGTATAGGTATAGTGTCAAGTAGTAATACAGTTTAAAAATGCACCAGTGGAATTGCTTTAACAGAGCTATTGTCTAGGGAAAAGCACAGTTGCTTCTTTGTACAGGATACTGGTTTTAACTTTTACATTTATACTTCCATATTCCACCTAATTATATGTAACTCTCATTGTACATAACACTAAATGTTCATAGTCCTTCATGAATGACAATACTGAAGGAGGTGCTCAGAGCCACAGGGTATAGTTAGGTCATAGCTACCGTATGAATATGCTCTACTACAGCAGAGTATAGCCTTGACTGGATTTCCCATGAAACTTCAGTATTTACCTACTACTTGTTCCTTTCAAAATAGGATTTTTCTTTTCCTAAACAGAAATTACACCTGTTTAATGAATTATACCTGTTAAAGCTGATTCAGCTAACCAGGTGCCCACGCTCAGGTAGACACTTCTCAGCCAGCTTCACTCAGCTGGAAGGAATTGAACACTTCACATCCTGAGCAGGCGACACTTAAACCGTATTCCCTTCCCCAAAGAGCCTCCAGCTCAAAATAGCCAAGACAAACAAAAACGAGACCCAGGATAATGAGGGAGAGGGTGAGGCAAACAGAAAGTGGGAGGGTTGCTTGGAAAAAATGTGGGTTTGGGGTGGTGGTTTGTTTTTCAGGGAAGGTTGCAGGAGGAAAGAGGAGTTGTGTGGCGGGCAGCAGGTGGGAGAGGGGTCCCCGTGTCCGTGGCACAGAGGAAATGCTGCTGCGGGGAGGCGGAGGTGGGGGGAAGGAGGGAGACACGAGGGCTGGGGACCACCAGCCAGAGCTGGGTCTTGGAGGTGACACGAAGGGGGATGCTGTGCTCAGGCTGCCCTGACCTGCCAGGGTACCAGTGCCTGCTCTCCTCCCAGCCTGGCTGTGCACCAGACTCGGGCGAAGGCAAATGTTTTGCCAGCCCGTGGCTAGCGGTGAGGCTGTCCCTGCCTGGGGGTGGAATGGAGGAGAGGAACGGGGAGGAGAGAGGAGCAGTCTGCCTCCACTGACCCTGGGGCAGGGGTTGTCCTGCCGTGTTGGCTGCTGCTTCTCTGAGAAAAAGGAAAAGCAGTTTTAGGAATATTTGAGGGAGACGATGAGATGGGCTTTAAGGCAGGTTCTTCAGCTGTCATCTGTCCAGCCGTGCTCTTGAAGAGTGGAAACAACCCTCAGTTATCAAAAAATACCATGGGTTTAAAGCAGAGCCTTAATGACTTCGTAATCTTCTACAGCCCCGTTTTTTAGATTTTTTTTATACACACTTGTCCTACAACAAGGCAGTCTCTTGGGTCCCAGAAAATA